TCCTCGTCGTTACCACTGCAAGGACTTGCCTTGCTTTTCGCTTATTGGTAGAAAGATTATGTCGTCGTCGTCGTCGTCGTCGTCGTCGTCGTCGTGATAATCGTCGTGGTGATCGTCGTCGTCGTCGTCGTCGTCGTCGTCGTCGTCGTCGACGACGTCGTCGTTCAGGGGTGATTTGGTTCAAACGAATACCGACGAACAGGATAGATGGACAGGATTCTACCGGGTGGCGGCTGCGATTCTTAACGAGGGCGATCGTCCGTCGAGTGCGCGACTCGCCGACAGCGATGATGACGACTTCGTGAATCGAGCGCGGGCGGAAACTGGCTGCTCGACGTCGGTTGGCCCCGGCTGGCGAATACCATACTCCGAACGCCACATTCGGTACCACGGTCGGTCCTCCTCCACGTTCCTCCGCCTCTCGCGCAAACTCTCCTCTCTCTGTTTCTCTCCCCTCTCTCTCGCTCACTCGATTCTTTTCTCTCGACTTTTGCCAGGCAGTCTGTCCTTCTCCCTCTTGCTACCCATGTTTCCCTCTTCTCTTCTCTTTTTTTTTTATTTTTATTTCGACTGATGTTTCTTCATAGAGTTTTTTGCAAACGACTCTTCTTGCTTCCTCATCACTTTTCCCCTCTCGTTTCACAGATCTCCCTTCTTTTCACTTCCTCACTGTCTCTCTTGATCTCTTTTATCTTCTCTCTTTCTCTCTCTCTCTCTCTCTTTTCACCCCCTTCTTGCTCCTTCTCTCATCCGCCTCGCCCACTCGCACTCTCTTTCTCCTGTCATCCTCTATCGCGTGCTAGCCCATCGCACTCTCCGCCTATCGGAATTCCCAGTCATCTTTCGACCTCAACGCGGGACACGAAGCAACTATCCTTTTTGCTGCTACTACTGAAAGGGGACGACGGTGTGCACCAGTCCTCCGGTCGCCCTTATCGATCACGACGCATGCCGCGCGGATTTGCGAAGGGCCTCTCGTCCCCTCCAATTCTCACCGAGATGAGAAAGAAATTTCACTGTTCCCTTCTGTTCGTTCTACTTATTCTTCCATGTGTAAACTCAGCGAAAGAACGAGACGCACACGGTGGCGGTACCACGCGTGAGGGGGCAGGAGGGCGAAGAGCGTGGCGCTGTTATGTGTCTGTCTACCCGTCCGTCCGTCCGTCCGTCCGTCCGTCTGTTCGTCTGTCTGTCCGTCTAAATGATAGCGTGTACGTACTGCCTGTACAGCAGCCGTGTTACATATGCAAACGTAATCCCGACACGTCGATGTTGGGCGGCTGATAGCCGGCCTCGCACTGCTCCCCCGATATGGCTACGCGCCGTGACAACAGCAGCAGCCCGGCCGTGCGTTCTCCATTCCCCTCGCGCCACCCTCGGGGCGAAAAATCGCCACCCTCTCGCCACGACGACCCGGGCGCCGCGCCACGTTGCTACTTGGAAGCGATTGAGGCGTGGGTCCCTGGTACAGAGTCTCTCCAGGAGTCTCCGTTTTTTGGCGGTTCTTGATATTTCTATATCTCTTGTCTGTCTGAAAAAAAGGAGTAAAAGCTGCTTATATAAAATATTTCGTGAAAGAAAATATACTATATTTTTCACAAAAAGATTTTTTGAAGGTACATATATTTGTGAAGAAGTAGTTTACTAAGAAACGTGTTTATTTAAATTATTTATAATCTGATGGTGTTACAAATTGATCTTTATTACGTTGGAATTAAAAATCATGATCTTTATTGACGAAAAATATTGGTTTTTAACGGTGGCAGGATGCACGAGTTTCTATCGATGGAATGTAATACGATTGTACTATTTTAAGTATCATTTGCTTCCTTCTATTTCCGAGAAGGCCATCATGTATCACACTCCATTTAACCAATCAGTTTGGAAATGCAATCAGTTATCGCGTGCACTCAGTCCTGCCTACTTGAAGTCACTAACGTAATCTTGCTTCATATCTACTGTTTTGACTATACAGTAAAATATATGTTCAAAAGAATGTTCGTATTGGCGTTTAAGAAAATATTTGTATCATTTTAGATAATAAATCTATTAAGTAAAAAATAAATAATTTGTTTCTGTACTAGTACTTTCTATATTATTTTTATCATTTTTCAAATTGATAAAACCACTCGAGAGCTACATCGATGAAAGTCAAACGGTTTTTCTCTTAATTTCTAAGATATATAAAAATATATTAGAATTAATTCTGTACTTGTCATTTATCTACCTCTTTACGACATGTATCTACCTCTTATATATATCCAATTTTTTACTTGTGAGGACATATATGATATTTTTATAAAATAGAGGCAAATTGTATCGTATTCCACGATTATCCTCTAGCAAAATTTAATTTAATCTGAAACGTTTACGTTTCTCTGATTCAAGCGCGAATATGTAACATCTTGTGTCTCGAGGCCTGCCGATAACGGGAGGAACAGAGGGCGAGAGAGAGAGAGAGAGAGAGAGAGAGAGAGAGAGAGAGAGAGAGAGAGAGAGAGAGAGAGAGAGAGACGA